TGAAAAAAAGCTATAGGAGAATTTGGTTCCAGATTCTCCCCCATCGAGCCTGTTTGAGCATATATACTCGCCATTTTTATTCTGAAGCTGTGCAGGGCAGGGTGTGGCTAGTGCTGTGATGGGAGACCTCTGAGAACATCAGGTGCCACAGTGGGGCGGCTTCTGTCAGTGTGCCCCAGGGCAACTAGTACTTATCACTACCATGTGTGGAGTGAAAGAATAGTGACATGTAAAGCATCTTTGAGTGTCCTGAAAAGTGTTAAACATATAACCAATTCATTGTATAAATATATAGTTTATTTTTTTGAGTGTGTATGTGACTTCATCCGTTTGCTCAAGTTGCATTGTCCCATCCCAACAATTGTTCTGTAGATCATCATGTGTATCTATTTATGTATGATTTGTGTATGTATATACTGTATATTTTTATATTTAATCATTTTTTATTGTTTTTATCCCTATAATGTTGTATAGTTTGCCAATGTTCTCTCTGTGCCTGTTAAGCACCCTGGGTTGCTTCTGTATGAATGGTGCTTTCTAAAAAAAAATTGCCTTGCTTTGCCTATTAAAAAGCCAATCTTAAGGCAAGCTGCGTTTCCCCTGCAAATTATGGCATCTGATTGGTCAATCCTTATGGCTCATATCTATATTTACATAAACAATATCAAAGCAAAAAACCCGGGATCATAGAGAGTGCCAGACAACAATATTGTTGAGCCCAAAATGTGTGACAGAAACATTAACTGAGCTGGATGACTTTATCCATCTATATACAGTCTGTGAGTGGTTCCCATGCTGCAAATGACTGCACTTTGTCCTGCTGCTGCTGTGCTGTCATCCCATAACTGTTCGAATGAAAATATACTTTGCAACATGAGACAAATGACTTCAAATTGTCCTGCATCAAAATGTCACTTCAGCTAATTCAATATTCTCTGTTAAATAAAAAAAAGTATGATTTAACATATTATGGAATTACAGATAGTTGCATTTCTTGAGAATGAAATATGTATAAAATATGTCTTGAGTATATAAATATGTGTTGAGTATATAAATATGTCTTGAGAATATAAATATGTGGTTGAGTAGATAAATATTTCTTGACTATATAGATATTTCTTGAGTATGAAACGGGCTTGTCTTGAGATTTCTATTGGTTTCATTAGGAAAAAACCGCAGTGGGACAAACCCCATGTAACGACAAACCCCCATCCCCAATCTCACCTGTAATAGTTGTTTTCTTACTTAAGCATTACATCAATTTGATCTCATAAAACACACAACTCATTCTTAGAACAGAAACGACAGCACATAAAAGATGTAGACCTGGAGTGTCCAAAGTGCCGTGTGTGTGGTGCTCTGGATCAGGCCTGGGACAGAAATAACCTCATCTCTCTATCTTTGTGCTCAACTTATGCTCCCCTGCCTTGCTTGGATATTGGAAAATAATGTGATTTTCTGAAATGGTTAGATAGCAGGGCGTGTTTATGGATGTCTGTGATGTGGTGTTCAAATGTAAAGATATTGCAGAGTGAGATTTTTTTCATTCGTTTACAAATTCTGTTGCCGTAAATGTCGGACGGATTCAGACTGAGAGCGGGTGCATTATTACTGGAATTATAGCAAGAGACTTGTGATGGGCAATAACAGTAATTTCAATTTAGTCTTGAAATCTAGCAAGACTAGGGCAAGAAAGAAAAGTTTAGTTGTTGGAGAGAATACTTTGCAAATCTATGTAGTTGCTGAATACTGAATGGCTGCATTAAAATGTCCCAATTCTCTTCAGTCGGAGAGACCTTATTTGTAAGTTTTTGAGATATCTGATGAAAATAAGGTAAGATAAACTTCATTAATCTCACAATGGAGAAATTGAATGTCACCATATACCAACTCTTTCTGATATTACAAAAGTTTTTTTGATCCAGCAATCAATTATTATTTCTTTGAAACGTTTGTACACTTCCAACATACAACAGGATAGAAGATAAACACACACACGCACGCACACACACACACGCGCACACACACACGTATACACATACAGAGACAACCCAATCCAGGCCCAATCACTCTCTGACCCTACACCTCTCTCCTCCAGAATTCGCGCTGTGCTCAAGGCATTACTCTTGTCCTTACATGTATTTCTTCAACACTTTCTTTTACAAATTGTATCAGGTTTGCACACGTTTTTAATCAATCCGTTAATCTGTTTGAAAGGGGAACACAATTACTTAATACGAGCCGCTATAGTAATCAATGATTTTGAATTTCCATCATCCAAAACAAACCTGTTGCTCTATACTAGCTCCTAAACACTGTCAAAGTAAATATTCTTTAGATCCTGGATGACGATCTATAATGCTCAAAATTAGTTCCAATAAGGCCTTTTTTGTAAGTATGTGAAGAGAGAGACCACATCTGAATGCAAGCTCCAGCTAGCCTATTCCCAGATATATCAGTTTAATAACGTATTTACTTTACATAATGATACAGAGCCACATTCTTACTGGAAACACATTTAAAGTCAGTGAAACAGCTTGTCAACACTGCCGAGAGCTGTTGCAGAGATGCTTGTATTTTAGGCTGTAAAGTGTAATCTTGTAGAGTCTGTAGTGATCCCTCAAAGCCCTACATGTCTGTGATGATCCGCCTCTTCTGACTGTGGAAACAGAAGTACAGAGGACAATGTTAACCCTCTAACTCCATGAAGCTCACTGCAGAAGTTTTTCTCTGGCTCCTATTGACTTACATTGAAAAGTATCCTCCTTTAGCTCAGTCTGTGTCACGCTCATCAATTTTTGACCTGAAATTTGCGCCGCTTTGATCCTGGTGTTTTTACTAATTCACCCTTGCTGTGTGAAGCAGAGGTTTCGCAGGTCTTTCCTTCCTGCTGCTGTCAGACTGTACAATGAGAACTACAGGGCCTGGAAATGTCATTCATCTGTAAATAAATAAATACTAAAATCATGTGCAATACTGCAACTTGTCCACTGAGCAATGTCACTTTATCTATCTATCTCTCTATCTATATCAATCTATCTATCTATCTATATCAATCTATCTATCTATATCAATCTATCTATCTATCTAATGTATCTCTGTCTATCTATCTACAGTATATATCTATCTACACTAGTTTGCCTCTACCCCTGCAACAGCTGGTAGAGGTCACCCCGTCGAAACCAATGCCCATATAAGGATTTCAGCTCCAACTAGCCGCTGTTCAAATCACCTTCCTCCGCATTCGACAAACACTACAGCTCGGTCCACTCCTCTAGGATCTGTGGATGATCCGAGGTCTTCTCTGTCTGTGCTGATCCGGTTCTCTCCTCTCACTTCTCTCCATGTGTTGCCAGAGCAGAGGCAGAGCGTCAGGGCCCGTCCGTGCTCACGCCTCTTTTGGCTCTCCCTGTCAGGAAGCGTGCTCGTCACCTCACTACCTCCTGCAGCACCAGCTCACTCTCTCCGCACTCTGGCTGTTGTGTGAAAGGAACCATATTGCTGCTCCATTTTTTGCTGTACTGTATAAGCATGCGCACATATAAAAGGAGAGGGCGATATAGAAAACATACAAGCCAGAGTATTTGTTTGATTTAACTGCTACTGGTTGAAGTAGTTAAGGGGAGATGTGTTTATCTTGTTAGGTATTAAAATAGTTGTTGAAAAGAAGCAGTTAAAAGTATAAAGCTGACGAAATGTACATTCTTACATTAGTTAGAGTTGCAATTCCTGATTTCCAAACTGCAAATAACATTTCTCAAAACTAAGGTTGAGAAAAGATCAAATAAAATAAAATCAAGTATCAATCAATACTGAAACTTGCATTGAAACTGTGAACAAGATACAAAACAAAATTACGTAAAATCTAATGTTAAAATGTGACATTTCTTGAGCATTTTTGATGTATTTAAAGTATATCAGAAGAACGTGTAAAAACCCCCTATAAAACATATTATTATTTATAGAATAGGTTAATAATACAATCATTCATAAAAGAGTATTTATCATTTATTTTCTTACAACTCAAATGTGTTATAATTGTTGTAGGAACAGGCTTGTCAAATGATAAGTTGATAATGAAAATAAGTTTGCCTAGATCTCCTGTTATTCTCCAACACTAATAAAGAGATCTCTTCTTAAAGTTTCTCTTTGCAGTCTGGTGCTTGCTGTTTTTATTTTTTGATAAACAAACAATAGATAGATTATTATAAATCTTGTAGTCATTACTCAACAGACAGCTGATCAAGTTTTCAATGTTTTATAATAGCTATTTTTTATGGGTATTTTGAATTGAGAATATTTTTTTCTGTAAATTTTAAACTCCACCCAAAGTAGTAGAATTGCTACATTACCCCTCTACATGAGAATCTGAATTCAGTCCATGTGATTTTGATTTTTGTTATCTACTACCATATAAATCAATGTTCTTATTGTTATACTTTTTGAATATTTTCTTTTTCCCCCAACCCTTTAGGTGCCACATTAGCAGAATTATGAGCTTCTGAATCCAACACACACTCTATACAGCAACCAAACTAACCGCACCCTTACTAACCTAATGTTTCCCCACAATTTTAAGAAACTAGAATATTGTTCCAAAGTTTATTTATTTCTGTAATTCAACAAAAATGTGAAACCAATAGACATATACCAACCGTCTGTTTTTAGTTTGATGATTACGGCTTATAGTTCTTACAGGCCGTCTTCAGTCTGTCCTATATTGGTTTGACTTTGTAAGTTTTATCGAAGTGAATGGACTTTTGATCTAAGAGAAGGTCCTTGGTTCCCGGTCAGAACAGGTCCTTTCTGAGTGGAGTTTACATGTTCTCCCTGTATATGCGTAGGTTTCCTCCTGGTGCTCCGGTATAAAAATGCACTATAGAAATAAAGATTACTTACTTACTATTTCACATCAAATATCTGAAAATACCTGTGCCTAAGTGGGTAAATAAAGTTCCCTAAATGTTCCCACGCCTGACCTTCTCCCCCTCTCTTTGCAGACACCCCTTCCTGGTCGTGGCTCCCTCAGTTCTGTAACCTGCGGGACCTCCGTAGACGCGCTCAGCTTCGACAGTTGGACGACTCCAGCGGAAACATGGTCCACATCAAACAGAAGCTCTACCACAACGGTCACCCAAGCCCCCGCCACCTCTGACTGACCAAACACTAACCCCTCTCCTCACCTTTCAAACTTCCAACGCGGCTGCTTCAAAGACCTCACGGGAAACTGCCTGGACTTTTCCCTTCTGCAGGACTTTACCAGCGCAGCCGACGGAAAACCCCGAAATCCACTGGAATCCTGTCTTGTCCAAAGTTGGAGGAGCCAAACTGACATTTTTCAAGTGTTTTATTTATTGTATAGAGACATTTTCTGTGTTCATTGTAACTTGGCATGCTCTTTTAGAAGAGGGTAACACGTGGGTAGAGCTTGACGCGATTGGGAAACTTGAATGATTTGTATTATTTCTTTACTTTTCGGTTGAAGTGGGAGGGTCTTGATGAGTGTGTGGGGGCGTTTTTTTGACAGGTTGCTGCTTGTGTAAATAGTTATATATATGGGCACGTTGGGTTTTAGGGGACGGGGTTATTTATCGTGTGTCGTTGATAGAAAAATCTAACTGCAGATTGTCGTAGGAATGGAACCAAAAGACGTCTGAAAACTGGATGTGAAACGTGTGATTTCTGCTCAAAAACACAGATGAAATTTAGCTTTGTTACTTAGTGAATAAACTGAATGTACTACTTTCCCCTGTAAATATGCGGAGGGGAGTGGTGGGGGCAGGTTACCAGTTGGGCTCCCTGTGCTGCGTCGTTTTGGTGCCAACAAACGAGTCAACATCATCTGCCACATACTTTTCCACATGGTTACTTTTCTTAACCAATTGCCTTTCATGTACCAGGAGCAACCAGCCTATCAGCCCTGGTCCTGCCCCCACCCCTGCCCTCCCTGTCCAGACATTGCTGTTGTGAGGATGAAATGTCTGTTTTATTAAAAGTGCTGGTGAAGCACAACAGTGACCTCTGGTGTTTGATTGAGCTTTCTTTGGAAATGGCACAGATTCCCAAAAAAGTGTTTCCCAATTGAGCATCTATTTTGGATCTTATGGTAATGCCTGTATGTGTGTTGGAAAGACGTGAAGTCAATCTGCTCAATGAGACAGGCTTGGAAATTGGCTTGGGCATGTCTCTTGTGTGTTGTTGTAAATGTTTGGACTTGTGTTTTGGAGCAAGAAGGAAAGACGGCAGTGTTATAACAAAGTATTAACTAATTTGAAAAGGAGAAGCATTTACACAAAGTGGCCTGAATTTCATTGTCATAGAAAGATATTTAGCTAGATATATAGATGGATAGGTATATAGATAGGTGCTTTATTTTTCCCACAAATTCAACGTATTATGAGTAACCAAACAGCAAAGACAATATCGAGGATACATTAATAATAAAACAATGGGTAACCAGGATCTAACCCCCTCATAAGAAGCACCATTGTTCTCTAACAAATACACACAAACAACTCAAGTCTGAAATCATATCGCATCAATTTATAATATATCAATTGTGAGATATATTTATCCAATTCTCTCCCTGCGGATCGTGAAATCTAATCACAAAAATCTTAGCGCAGTGTGAGACTGTAGTATCGGTGTCCCAGCTCATATTGGACGGCTGTCAAACCATATCCAGAAACAAATACAGAAATTATTGCAATGCGAAGACTTCAGATAGAAACAGACTAGCCACATTGCCAATACCATTTATTACCTGCCACTAAAATTTAAAGTATATAATTTATTAGTTTATTTTTACACTTTCACACTGGTCAGTTGCATTGGAAAGCTTTGGTCTGATTGTAAAGACTTATTCAATAGGGTGTAATCTACAAACCAGGATATTGGCCGAGAGCAGCATACCATAAAAAGTGCTTCTGAAACAGTGATGAACTTACTGTTTAGATAGTTAAGCTTCCACTTACCCTTTCATTTTTTATGTTCACCACTATATGCCCGTGCAGCCATTCAGAACCTTGGCAAACACGCATGTCATAAACCTTTCCTCTCCTGTCTTTTTTTTCTTTTCTTTTAAAGATAGAGATTGCATTTGGAACGACAGAAGCAAAGCCATGGCATTTCTTCCAACGTAGCACTTACCTTGCAAATCATCAGCTTTTAATTAAATAAGTAGTGTTTCTGCGCACGGTTATTTACAATGAATTGGGTCCAAGTGCGGTGCAGGCAGACAGCCAGACTCAAACTTCTCGGGCCTCGCGTCTGGGAAAGTTTGCTCAAAGATTCTGACGTGAGGAAGTTAGTGCTAAACTTCCATCACAAAGCATTTCCATCAGAATGAGAGAGAGTCCTGGATCATGTGCGCTGGGCTGGATCAGGGTCCCCGCACTGTCACTCTGGTTATGAGTGAGTTCTGTGGCCTATTTTTCCTGCTGATTATTGACCCAGGCTTACAGCGAATGGAAGAGACATCGAGAAAATGTTGTTTGGGGGCAGAATTCTTGCATTGAAATGTATTTGGTGTATTAATTCACTTTGGAGAGACCCAAGAGGGAAAATGCAGTTAGAAGTTTGTTGATTGAGTATGTTTGGCGCCCTAGGCCCGGGAGAGATGCTGTTGAGTGCGGCGCTTGCTCGCGCGCATAATCCCCCTCGGGGCCTAGGCACTGGTGACGGCAGAGGCAGTAGGCAAGCACGCTTCGATGAGAGGAGGAGGTGGGGCGGCGGAGGCTTTGCAAACTTCAGAAGGCCGGGAAAGTGGGCGTCTCCGGCTTTTAACTTGCTGTCCTGGTGGTTATTGGTGGATTAGATGTGGGCGTTTTGCTGGTGTAATGAGTAGAGGATGAGCAGGCTTGTAGATCTGGCAGCAGTGGCCGGGTCTACCACAGTGAACTTTCGCGAAGAGCTTCATTTCACTTTGGAGAGACCCAAGAGGGAAAATGCAGTTAGAAGTTTGTTGATTGAGTATGTTTGGCGCCCTAGGCCCGGGAGAGATGCTGTTGAGTGCGGCGCTTGCTCGCGCGCATAATCCCCAAAAACGGGCAGAGTTATCTTTGCGCGCTGGGACGTGAGCGCTCGCTTCACGATCGATACCAGACGCTGTAGCAGAGTTGTCTTTAAGCGCCGGGACGTGAGCGCTCGCATCACGATCAACCGGACGCTGCCTGGGACGTGAGCGCTCGCATCACGATCGATACCAGACGCTGTAGCAGAGTTATCTTTGAGCGCCGGGACGTGAGCGCTCGCATCACGATCAACCGGACGCTGCCTGGGACGTGAGCGCTCGCTTCACGATCGATACCAGACGCTGTAGCAGAGTTGTCTTTAAGCGCCGGGACGTGAGCGCTCGCATCACGATCAACCGGACGCTGCCTGGGACGTGAGCGCTCGCATCACGATCGATACCAGACGCTGCAGTGGAGTTATCTTTAAGCGCCGGGACGTGAGCGCTCGCATCACGATCGATACCAGACGCTGTAGCAGAGTTATCTTTGAGCGCCGGGACGTGAGCGCTCGCATCACGATCAACGGACGCTGCCTGGGACGTGAGCGCTCGCATCACGATCGGTACCAGACGCTGCAGTGGAGTTATCTTTAAGCGCCGGGACGTGAGCGCTCGCATCACGATCAACCGGACGCTGCTGGGACGTGAGCGCTCGCATCACGATCGATACCAGACGCTGTAGCAGAGTTATCTTTGAGCGCCGGGACGTGAGCGCTCGCATCACGATCAACCGGACGCTGCAGTGGAGTTATCTTTAAGCGCCGGGACGTGAGCGCTCGCATCACGATCAACGGACGCTGCCTGGGACGTGAGCGCTCGCATCACGATCGATACCAGACGCTGTAGCAGAGTTGTCTTTAAGCGCCGGGACGTGAGCGCTCGCATCACGATCAACCGGACGCTGCCTGGGACGTGAGCGCTCGCATCACGATCGATACCAGACGCTGTAGCAGAGTTATCTTTGAGCGCCGGGACGTGAGCGCTCGCATCACGATCAACCGGACGCTGTCTGGGACGTGAGCGCTCGCATCACGATCGATACCAGACGCTGTAGCAGAGTTGTCTTTAAGCGCCGGGACGTGAGCGCTCGCATCACGATCAACCGGACGCTGTCTGGGACGTGAGCACTCGCATCACGATCGGTACCAGACGCTGCAGTGGAGTTATCTTTAAGCGCCGGGAACGTGAGCGCTCGCATCACGATCAACCGGACGCTGCCTGGGACGTGAGCACTCGCATCACGATCGATACCAGACGCTGTAGCAGAGTTATCTTTAAGCGCCGGGAACGTGAGCGCTCGCATCACGATCAACCGGACGCTGCCTGGGACGTGAGCGCTCGCATCACGATCGGTACCAGACGCTGCAGTGGAGTTATCTTTAAGCGCCGGGACGTGAGCGCTCGCTTCACGATCAACCGGACGCTGCAACAGGGTTATCTTTGAAGAAGTGCGTGCCGCCACCAGAATCTTATTGGTTCACTTACTTTGCTTTGTATTGCTTTGCTGGGAGCTTACGAGGAAGCCAGTAGCCGTTGTGCAGCCAGGATAGCGGACGCGTCTGGCCTGATGTAGGTGGAGAAAGCCGAAGAGGACCAGCGCCCCAGCTGTTGCAGAGAGGTGTGGGGGAGCCCCAGCGAGGCCGCGCGCGTGGCAGCGCCTATCCTGAAGGAGTGAGCTGTGTAGAGCTGGGGAGACAATTTACAGAGGAGCAGTAGGGATCTTAGTCGAGCTCTGAACCAGGTTGCTGTCATGGGAAGAATGTCTGGAGTGAGAAATAGAGGTCCGTTAAGATCTCCTTTTTGCAGCGGAGGCGAGTGTAACGCATAAAGGATTTGTAGGGGCAGAGAGATGTGTCCGAGCGAGCTATTACTATATTGCAGGTTCCTTTGATTTTTGAATGTTTGAGACGGAGGTTGAAATGGTCAGGGGACATTATGTTGGGTGAAAAAGAGCGACCTTTGTGTAATGCTTCCACTACGTCGAGATTATCACACGTGACAGAGATCCTCTTTCTCTGCCACGTGTGATTCCACAGCGCGCAGGCCACGACCACTGGGAATATCTCGTGTAGGGCAGAGGAGATGCTCCGGTGGAAAGTAGCGGCCACGCTCGGCAAACCAATGGTCCTGGAAGAACCCCCAAA